CTTCCCCGGCCCCCGCCAGGCTTCTGCACAATCACAGGCTCCTAACACTGATTGTGGCCCCGCCTTCTAGCCACTCCCCCACCCACACCAGGCTTCTGTCTGGTGCGCAGCTGGAAAAATCAGAGAATACCGGACATTGCACACGTCCGGTATTCTCTGATTTGTTTTTCCGGACAAAGAGCACAAATACCAGACTGTCTGGTAGAATACCAGACACCTGGCAACCCTAGGTTGCTGCTGCCACACATTTCTTCCTCAGGCACTCAGGCAGTCTGAGCACAGTAGCCAGTTGTGAGCAGGTTCTTGATGCTTGTGCACGCAGAGTGGCCAGCTGGCTGTGAGGACGTGCTGGAGTGCTCAGCGCAGAGCAGCCCAACTGGCCGTTTCCACGTGGTGGGTGCTATGTGCTAAGCGGCCCAGCCAGCCATGAGCAGTCACTGCGGTGCCATGCGCAGAGCAGACAGTTGACTGGCTGTGATCTGCACTCAGATACATGCTCCAAGCAGCCAGCGGGCCGCACTTTTATAAAAATGTAGTGGCGGGCCACAAAAAATTTCAATAGGGCCAAATGCAGCCCTCCAGGGGCCTGTTTAACATGCCTGCCCTAAAGTGTGCACCTGTGCAAGTACACAAAATTTACTGCCCACCCACGTGAGAAGAGCCGTGCAGTGACTTCTCATCTGCTCTGGAGTAGCAGCAGGACAGCCACCACGTGGCCCTGGCAGGGCTGTAGTTGTAGGCCACCTCGCAGGCGGCTGCTCCTTAGGAGGCCCCAGTCAGGGACAAAGCTGGAGCCACATGTGCAGCTGTGTGGTGGGAGGCAGCTGCTCCAGCGGCCCTGGCTGGAGTGGGAGATGATCCTTCCAGGTTGCAGCTTCTCTGCCTGTGGCATGCCGGATCCCACAGAGCTAGAGCAGCCCATTGGTTAATTGTAAGTACTAGGTGATGTTAAACCATTCACATCCCTATTCTGAATAGGAGTTTAATAGCTGGGCTTTATTGTTTTATATTGTGAGTGTGCATGTGTGTGTGTCTGTGCGCACATGTGCTAGGTTGGTTGTTGTTTTTTGCCACTCAGCTGGTGGCCTTTTTTTTAGGCTTTTAGAAGATTTTAAGTAAGAAGGTTGGGGACGTTGTATTTTATAGGAATACCCATCATTATTTTTAAATTATTATTATTTTAAAGTTTTATTTTTATGATAATTTTTATTGTTTTATTGCTTTATTATTGACAAAGGGACTTAGGGTGTTTATTTTGGGTTTCTTTTTATTTTCACTTATTTTATGTTTAATATTAAACATAAAATCACTTAAGGAAAAAAAAGTTTAACTTTGTGAAAGCATCATGATACTTGAAGAGATAACTTTTAAACTTAAAGCTCTCGGTAGATGCTTGCTGCCAGATAAAGAGTAGCTGTCAGTTTTGCAACCTTGAATAAAATATCTGCATGGATTTTTAATGGAATTTTTAAAAAACTTATCTATATCTATAATATATATAATTATATAAGCATCTATTTTATATATTTTTAAAGTGGTTTTTTTTTATTTTTAAAGTGTTTTTTTTAAATATAAGTTCCCCAGCGACGTATATTATGAGGGATTAAATATTTCATACTTTCTTGGCTAGGGTTGTGAGGTGTCCGGTTGAACCGGACAGTCCGGTATTTGAGCTTCTATCCAGGAAACAAATTGAGAAAATACCGGACATAGAAATATCCAGTATTTTCTAATTAAGTAAGTTTTATTATTTTCATGAGTATCAGTATGTAGTTGCGTACTGCCTGGCTGGTAGACACCCTCACGCAGCATGAGCATGTCTACCAGCCAGGCAATTCACAACTACAAACTGATACACCTAATAATAATAAACTTACCTAATTAGAAAATACCGACATTTTATATGTACAGTATTTTCTCAATTTGTTTCCCGGACAGAACTCTCAAATACTGGACTGTCTGCCCCTCCGCGTCCCCCCCCCTTTCTCCCGGCCAGCCCCACTCCCTGATGACTGGTTTCCCCCCACCCAGCCCCACTCCCTCTATCGCCCTTCCAGCCAGCCCTCCTTCCTGCTGGCAGGTGAGGGGGAAATCTCACTCCCCTGGGGTACAGAGCCCCCAGAAGGGTCCGAGGCCGGAGGTCAAATCAGTGAGGCAGGAGAGAAACCTAGAAGAGAAAACTTTATGATGCATGCATGCAGGCTGTCACTTCCAAGAGTGAAAGCAGCAGCCCTGACAGACAGATTCAGGTATCCTATATACAGAATGCTTAGACAGTTCAGTTGTGGATTGTTCTTCTTTAACATATCAAAGTCTCAGCAGAAGTACTCTGAGACTTCTGTTCACCCCAGGAGTGCTAGAAGTAAGTTTTTACAGTACACAAAGCCACATGAGAACTTGAGTGGAGGAGTCTACAAGGCAAACTGTGACAAAGATAAGGGTTTACATGATAAT